CTAGAATAATTTCAAATTCTGAGTGTTCAAGAACTAGGAAGGGCAACATTTCTTTGTGGAGGGCACTGGTTTCCAGATGAATGGGTTTTGTGATGTTGGATATGGTTCCAATGCCTATTTGTCCTCCATCCAAGGCAGCCACCCATAACGATGCTTTCAGGGCCTCCACTGGAATTTGGAGCTGTTCCACCAGATGGGAATGGATAAAATTTCCTTCTGCACCAGAATCTATGAAGGCTGACACAAGAACAGAATTTGGGTGACAGCATACAGTGACTGGCAATAGGAATGATTTTGAAACCAACCCCTTTATGGGAACCCCTTTATTTCCACTTGTCCATCTGTCATCACAAGATATAATCATAATTAGAAATTCATTAATTATTAATGTCATGTATTATTTCATTCATTCTTTTACTTTTTGTCACTAATAGCTTAGTAGCTTGTGTTTAGGATGGCCAGCAGTTATACCTGCTGAAAACACAGGAAACAGCTTTACCATCTTCACCCATATGATCCCACCACAAACCGCTCTGGGGGGGCTCCAGGAATTCATCTCTCAGAGAACCAAAAGCAACAGGGGTAAGAGGGGTCCAAACACAGCTCTGGCCTCTATGAAAATGTCAAAGAAATACAAATAAGATTGTCTCTGAAGACCTCATCTTGTTCTCCACAGACTGTCCAGATACTGATTGGGATTGTGACCTATTTGTTTGGCATTGTGTCAGCAGTCCACTTTAAAACCATATCTGGCTACAGTGACATCAGCTGCTGGGGATAAATAATTGTATGTTCACTTTGTGTTACTTTGTGGTATACTGTTATATTGTGTTTGTGTTTCTGACCCTGTACGCCATGGTGGTGGTTTTAATTCATCCTTGTATAAAAGATACAGGAGGATATTATAATGGCCTTGTAACACTCTTATTAGTCCTTATTCAGCCAGTAGTTGGTATTGAACTGGTTGCTTATAACTGGATGAAAAGTTAAAGTTTAATCAGTAACTACAGTGAAACATTTTCCTGAGCACTTTCATTTGCCTATCATAGAGTGTTGTATTGTTTAAGTCAAGACAATAAATTAACCCACTGATGCCTGTTGCCTCAGGTTAACAGACTCAATTTCATGACTTTAATGGCATCATAATTATTTATTACAATTAAAGGGTTAATGATAAAAGGAAGGGTTTGAATAAATCAACAAAATGCTTTACCATGTTACCATATCATTCAGTGGACTTTCTCTTTTATGATTTTTTTTCCTTTTTTCCATAAGAGCACAGCTACAGTCATATACAATAACTTGAACACCGCAGATCAAATTATATGTTTGATGTCCTTCTAAATGAAAACAGGCAACAAACATAAATATGGCATTTTTCTTCACAGTTAAGTGCACAGGTTCTGTTTATTTGTTGAGGTTAACATATTGGCTTAAAAATATATACGAAGTATAAAATCTGCCATTATTATTTTAATAATATTATTTTTAATTAAATTTAGCAAATAAACAGAAATTCAGTGTTAAAATGTGCAGTAGTGTGTTCTCTGTAGAGGATGTGTTCACTTATTTACACTTCGAAAATCAGCAAAACGTCATTTGATTAAGGGCAGCCAAATTTTTGCATACAAGTGTTCGCAAAGTGAAGCACATTTTAAACCAGAAGTGTTAACCTCATCGCATGCAGTGTGCTCCTGTGTTAATCAGAGAACCCTCACACAAATTTCATCCTTAAGCCCTTCACCTTGAACCTATTTTGTGCTGTCTGTCTCTAGAACATCCCACAATATTTAACTCTTAAGTAGCTTTTTTTTATTTTTATTTTAGGATTATGTTTTTGTTTTTGCTTATTTTAAGAATTGTACTTATTTCGGCATATATTGTGTTTTACGAGTATTATCAGTTTTGTTAGGAAATGAGCACTAATTTCAAATTGTTTTGATGTTTTACATTAAACATTGCTTCATGATGTTGCATCTTGTTAACATGGTTTCTTTACAAATAGCAAAACATAGAATTAATCTTTTCATATGTGTTTTTTAACACATTATGTAGTCACTCAGTTTCATTCCAAATCTTTAAATAGTAAAATATTTTTTATGACACTTCATATCTCATTTCTTTACGTTGTTGCACAGTGTTGCCTCAAGGCAACATATACCAATGATATTCCAAAATAGTTTTGAATTTTAATAATTAGGTAAATTTTTCCAACATTGGAACACTTTAAACATAATCTAAGTGTTATGAAACATAGTATAAATTATAAGGAGTATGAAACAAGCTTTTGTTGCAGTTTCATATTTAATGTTCAGTGACAAACATCCCACAGTAAAATTGAAGTAACAAATATTGTTTGAAATGTGTGTTATTCTAATTTCTTTTCACCTCTTAATGTTGTGCAAAAAATTAGGATGTACAAAAGACAAATAAAAGCAAATGCTTAATTCAGCTTAGTTACTGCTTAATAATATAGTAATACACAGCCAGTTCATTAGTATTTGTTGACTATTGACTATTCACCAGCTATTGGCATTATAAGTATTAACAGGGGTGCAAAAATGGACACTGAAAATGATGTGCAAAGATTATTTATGACACACAAACAAGTACTCTGGAAAAAGATGTATTTCACTTCTGATGCTGCTGAATAATGTAGTAATGCGAAGGCAATTAATTAACAACTACTTGGTAAGCTTGATGAGGCTTAACAAGTGCTTCATTCACCAGCCTAATTCATTTGTGGTATGTAAATGAAATAGTAAGTTAACAAATTCTCTACAGAGGTCACAATTAAATATGATAAATATAGCAATTCTATTTGTTTATTAACACGCTAACATATAGGGAAAAAAACATACATACATACATCATCTAAACCGCTTATCCTTCTGGGTCGCAGTGGGGTGCTGGAGCCTATCCCAGCCGTCACTGGGCAGAAGGCAGGTTACACCCTGGACAGGTCGCCAGTCTATCGCACGGCAGACAGACATAGGGCAGAAAAACATAGTATGGAATTTTGTTCTCTGCATATGAAGTGTTATTTACACTTATTAACACTAATATCAACAAAATCTAATTTGACTTTGGCACCTAAAATGTTGCATACAACTGTATAGCTAATTAAAGAGATTCTCAGCTATAATGATAGTATAGTATGTTTTTTTTACCTGCAGACTGGGCATGTTCAAAAAATGTTTTGTCACTCAGTATTACATCATCTCTGCCGGCACACAACCTTGTATTGTCTATTTGTTTTTCATGTTTTAACATGACTTAAATTCACTAGGTGAATTTTATATCAGAATTAGCCAGAAATCAACCGAATACCATTCGCCAACGTGTGGTTTCATCTTCAGAGTCTGACCAAATTGGACTGAGCCATAAAACTGCCACAATATTAAGTTTAGCCGTTTTGTCAATTTTTGCAAGATCAAAATTAATGTTATTTTGTTCCTGCCAGTCTGGAAAGCATCTTACAGCCCATTTTGTTTGGTGAATGGTGTTCGGTTCATTTCTGGCTAATTCCAGGTTGTTTAGGTTTTCTTCTGTCACAGCTGCTGATGGGAAAAGCTTGCTCAGTGGTAAGGACAGTTTCGGAAAGTCTGACCAAATTGGCTGTAGGACAAATGTGATCTTAAAAGTATCCATTTTCTTTTTGTGAGCAAAGTAAGAAGTAAATATGTTCAAATGGCTTGAGCGTCTCCTACAGCTTTCAAAGTTGTTGCTTAGCAATGGCGTCTCAGCAGAGTGATACAGTGTTTGTGGAAAAACACATGATGTAATGGCAAAATAACAGCACGGTTAGAACGCCTCTCAACCAATCAGCTTGAGTGGCCGGAATCAGCTGTGGTATAAAATGTAATGACTAACAGGTGGGACAACTTAGAATTCCAGAGAGGAGGAACACTGGAATGAACATTCATTGGTAGATGGCGATGTGAGAAGAGTCATGTGATCTCCCACAGACTCATGGGAGTTGGAGTACACTCAACAGTTCATAGACTCAAGTGATCCTGCAGGGGAAAAGGGAACAGGCAGAGGAGGCGTCCTCAGCAGGAGTGTTAAGTTCTAAATTTATTTCTGTGAAGTTCTAAATTATATTTTGTCCTAAATTTTTTATAACACAACATTAGAATAAATACAAATAAACAAATAAAATGTTAAAATGGCATTAGAATACATACAAATAAATGTGAATACAGTGCAAATAACAAAAAAATAAACATTTAGTGCCCAGATAAACAGCTTCACAGATCATTTTCTTCAAACTTATGCACAGTGCTGTAAATTCACTGCTTATATCTTACACTGTACCTGTTGTATATTGTTGCAGTCCAAAAAATAAATATCAGTGTGTGACTGGGGGAAACCTAGCAAGTGGGTGGAACTGGAAAGGACTACATTGGGGAAAAAACTGGCACGAACCCATCCATCCATCCATCATCTAAAGCGCTTATCCTTCTCGGGGTGGGGTGCTGGAACCTATCCCAGCTGTCATTGGGCGGAAGGCAGGATACACCCTGGACAGGTCACCAGTCCATCGCAGGGCAGACATACAGACACACTCACACCTAGGGGCAATTTAGCATGTCCAATTGGCCTGACTGCATGTCTTTGGATTGTGGGAGGAAACCCACGCAGACACGGGGAGAACATACAGACTCCACACAGAAAGGACTCTGGTCACCCGGCCGGGAATTGAACCCAGGCCCTTCTTGCTGTGAGGCGACAGTGCTACCCACTGCACCACCGTGCCGCCCTGGCACGAACCCCCCCCCCCAAAAAATTTAAATGTGTGGTAAAATTTGCAGAAAAATTCCATATTTCAAAAACATCTCATTTGATGAAGAGTGGTCAAACTTTTGCATATGTACAATGTACAGTTGCAATGTGTTAAAGCTTTTATATGCAACTGAATTCAGAAGTGAACAGTCAGAGTCATTATGATGTACATAGATAAAAGATACAATTTAAAAAGATAAAAGAAAAAGGGTTCAGTTGCAAAACCGGACCAAAGAAAGGACATAGAAGATAAGACAAGGCATGGGGCATTTAGATCAGTTAGCCACAACCCCACCCACAAAAACAGCTCTGTAGTTGGTTTCCAAATTTGCAGTGGTTTCCTGTAGATAAAGATCCCTGAGCTAACAGTAACAGAGTTCATCATCAGGTAAATAGTGTTTTGTTTCTCTCTATTTCGTTTGATTCCATTATTCAAAAGATGTAAAACATTTCTATTGCCAAACTACTGCTTTTGTGTGTATGTATGTGTGTGTATGAGTGAATATGTGTGTGTGCATGTTAAAATATAATCAGCTTACTAATTTGGTAATAAATGTATTTATTATTTAGATCTGAGTGCACTGTGATGCGAGTGAATGTGATCTGATGACTGAATGATTGTGAGATGTTCTTCCTGTTACAGGCCGTCCTCTTACAATCCTGAAACACACACTCTTGCCAAGGAAAACGCTTAACTCACCCCAACTAAGGCCTAAATTATACCAGTAAGTTCTAAGCTCATCCTTGTTCAATTCTCAATTTATTTATATTTAGTACAAAACTTTATTCCTTTTAAGTTCTACAATCATCTCTTTTAAGTCCTAAATTTATTTTATAGTTAAGTCCTAAATGTTTATCTAATGCTACTTTTGAACTGCTTATGCAATTATATATACATTTGTTCTCTCTTAAGGTTATATAAAGTAATTTTCACTTAGAAAATCAGCATAACAAAAATTAGATTTGACCAGGAGCACCTAAGCTTTTGCTTACAATACGATGCACAAAACAACCATAAAAATGTAAGAAGAAATACAAATAAAAAATATACAAGAAGTATTGATTTTCTGTTTTCGTTAGTATCCAATATCTGGGTTAAATCAATATTATATTATGTTATATTAAATGCTCTGCTGATGGAATTGAACAAATCTATGTGATGACCGGAGTGCAGAGAGATGTCAGGAACCTGTTCACAATATCTCAGCTACTTTAATGAAAGCAGTGATTACTTTCCTGCAATCGTGTTTATTTATATTTATTCTAATGATAAACAGTGTTTTTACTAACACTAACTGCTGAGATGAAGTTTTATACAATTGGCATAGGTACAAATTGTGCAATACAGCATGTATGTATATTGCCTTGCTAGTAAATGTCATATTTTTAATTGTGAATTTGCCATTTTCATGCATTGCATATATTATTCAAATATCGTTAACTCATTTCACAGAGTTTTTCCTGAAGAAAAATGAAGACAACTGGATTGTGAGATTAGACTAGATCAGTGCATTAGACGTTACTTTTAGTGGTAAATTTTGTTTGATTTTATTGACTTTTATTTCAACTTGTCCATCCGTCATCACAAGATATTATCAATACAATAAAAATCATTAATTAATTCAGTCATTCACTTTTGGTCATTAACAGCTTCAACAGCTTGTGTTCAGGATGGCCAGCCATGTTATACCTGTTGAAAACACAAGAAACGGCTTCACCATCTTCACCCATGTGATCCCCACCACAAACAGCTCCAGGGGGGCTCCAGGAAGTCTCCACTCTCAGAGAGCCGAAAGCACTGGGGGTAAGAGGGGTACAAACACAGCTCTGGTATGAAAATACAGATACAAACAAAAATGATTTTGTTTGTTAAAGACATACAAATACAAATAAGATTGTCTCTGAACACCTCGTCTTGTTCTCCACAGACTGTCCAGATACTAATTGGGATTGTGACCTATTTGTTTGGCATTGTGTCAGCAGTCCACTTTAACACCATATCTGGCTACAGTAACATGAGCCGCTGGGGATCAATGATCGTATGTCCACTTTGTGTTGTTTTTCTGACCCTGGATGCTTTGATTCTTACTTGTATAAAAATTATAGGGGGATATTATAATGCCCTTGTAAAACTCTTATTAGGCCTATCCAGCCAGTAGTTGGCATTTAATAGGTAGTTTAATACTTTGATAAAAAGTAAAGTTATTAAGTAGTAACTGAGGTGAAACATTTTCCTGAGCACATTCATTTGTATATCATACAGTATTACTTAAGCCAAGACCCGAAATTAACTCTCTATTGCCCGATGTTGCCTCAAGTTATAAGTTATGACATCATAATAGTTATTACAATAAAAGGGTTAATGGTAAAAAGGAATAGTTTTAACAAGCCAACAAAATGCCTCGTCACCGTGTCATTTGGTGGACTTTTTATTTCCATGAGAGCATGACTAAAGTTTCAACACCCACATTTAAATTACATGTTGACCTGCTAATAGAAAATAAGTTTACACATCCTCTACAGTGAAGTGAAGTTTAGTGAAGAATTTCTGTAGAAATCAACAACATGTGTAATTTGATTAGGGGAGCCCAAACTTTTGCATACACGTTCTTGCAAAGTGAAGCACATTTTAAACCAGAAGTGATAACTGCACCACATGAGGTGCGCATACAAATTTCCATTTTGAACTTGTTTTTGTTTATTTAATAAATTTTACTGATTTCAGCATACGTGTTTTACAAGTGCCATCAGTTGTGTCAGGAAAAAGAAAGTCATCTCTGATTAATTAAAAATGACTAGTTTGATGTTTTACATAAAATATTGTTTCACAATGTTGCATCATATTAACATGGTTTCTTTGAAAATAACAAAAATAAAATTAATCAGCATTTTTTAAGTGTTTCTGTGTGTTTTAAGGATCAACAAATTATATAGTTAGTTTCATTCCAAATATTTAAATAAAAAAAAATCATGACACATTTATGATAATGAAATGACACACACATATGTCATTTCATTGTTGCACAATGTTGCCTCAAGGCAACACCCCTAAACATTCTTTAAAAATGTTTTTGATTTTAATAATTAGGTCCATTTTTGCATCATTTAAACATAACATAGTATGAGTGTTATTAAGCATAGTATAACAGTGTTAAGACTAAAACAACAAGCTTTTGTTGCAGTTTCATATTTTATGTTCAGTGATAAACATTCCCAAGTAAAATTGAAGTAACAGTTACTGTGTTGTGAATGTGGGCTACTCTAATGCCACCGCCTCTCCAGTGTTGTGCTAAAGATTATGAAGTACAAAAATAAAATAAATCCTGGAAATGCTTAATTCAGCTTAGTTACTGCTAAATAATGTAGTAATGAGCAGCCAGTTAATCAGTATTTATTGCTTATTGACTATTCACCAGCTATTGGCTTGATAAGGATTCATAGGGGTGCAAAAATGGACACTGAAAATGATGTTCAAAGATTACAATTATAATGCCCACATAAAAACGTGTACTTCACTTTAGATAAAGCTAAATAATGTAGTACTGAGAAGTCAGTGAATTACCAACTACTGGAGTCTAATTCTTGGGGTCCTCTGTGTTTTCTATGACAGTATATCAGCTCTGGTGCTCTGACAGTCGCCGCAGCGAACCAACCTCATTCATTTGTGGTATGTAAAAAAACTAAGCAAATTCCCTACAGAGACCACAATTAAATATGACATTTTCTGCTATTTAGTAGTGCACAATTTCTATTTATTTGCTAAATGTAACATTTTGGAGAAAAAATAAAATAAAACATAAAATGTATATAAGTTTATTGTCAGTATTTGATGTGTTATTTACACTTATTTACACTACAATCAATACAATTTATACAACCATATAGCCAAATTAAAGAGATTTTTTTCTAGAATGACAAAGAAAACTGGACATGGTTTGGGAAATGACTGATTTACAAATGTAGCATGTGTAGCAGTCTGGAGTTTCTCCAGCAGAGGATTTAAGTCACTTGTGTGCATTGTTTAAAAAGAAGAAACAGCCACAAAGGCACAAACTTTCATAACTTTCAGGTGTGTCAGGTGTGTTTGTTGTGTTTATGACTTAGTATTGTATCATCATTATTGGGACAGAACTGTGTATCTTTATTTTTGTTTTGCATTTTTTGACATAACTAGGTGAGTTTTACATCGTGTAATATTCCAAAATTACTTAGAATAATACATTTTTCCATTAACATCTATTACAATTTAAGATTTTTTTTCCTTCTCCTTTAAAGTTCATTTTTTTGGAGATGCAAAGTTTTGTTTAAGTATGTTATGATACAAAATATCAAAGTGTAGGGTGTAGAAACAAATGTAAAGTTGTATCGAGAATAATACTAGAATTTTATCTTGGCACCCTGAAACAAAATCTAACAGAATTAGAGATTCACATCTCTAGTAAATACAGGTAAACAGCCATAAAGGCCATCACAAAATGTACACCACAGATACTATTTATATATTTACAACAATACAAACCAGGAGGGGTGTGAGAGATCTGGCAGCAGAGACTGTAACTCATCTGTTGATACAGGTTTTCTTGTCCTCTCTCTAGTCCTTCTTCAATGGTCAGCTCTCACCACAGAGGTGCTGGTCCACTGTCAACCTAGCAGTGGCACTGATGTATATGATATACTCCTACCAGCACCACACACACTACCATGTCAGACTCAGTGCTGTGCTGAGAATGGACCACCACCCCAATAATAACTGGACAACAGTGGTCCTGTGGTCAGGAATTGACCAGTGATTAATGAGGTAGGAGGGTGATAAACAGTGCTGCTCTATGAACTGTTCTGTTTCTCCTCTTGTGTAGGTGAGAAGCTCCCTGGTGATGAATATAATCAGTGCTGTGGCTGCAGGAGTAGCCATCGGTCTGCTGTCTATCGACATGACTCCTTATTTATATTATCACTTTGACTTTCAGGTGAGGGAAATCTGAGGACTTTTAACTGCTGTCATGTTTTTTTTTTAATTCCCTTTACTAAAACAGAGCTGATTTTCTTGACTAGGTTTGATGCTTCTCTGATTTTCTAGCATTTGGTTTATTAGAGCGTCCATCAGGAAACAGCATTTGCCTAGTTGCTTCAGATAAAACATATAGGCTACCTGTCAGTTGGCCCTGCTTTTCCTCAAGGAGTGTCCCTGGAATGGAATATAAGTACGGAATAAAATCTTTTGTGCAATTCATAGTCTTATGGTGTTTGGAGTGTGTCGCGTGGAATCAGTGGAGTGCTGCTGGTTTTCTCTGTGCTTCAGTTCATTGTCTCCATCTGCACTTCTGTATTCGCCTGCAAAGCCACCTGCACAGCCTGCTGCGCTGGAGCGCCGGTCAGTAAGATGCTGCCTCCAATATATACTACATAATATGAAATAAATACAGTGTGAGTGTCTGTTGTTCTCTTGTTCACTCAACACCACGTGTTCTCAGATATTTGACTTTTCTTCCTTTAGTGCTGTAAGTGAGCAGCCACACATTATTTAATGATTATTTATCACTGATCTGAGTGCACTGTGATGCGAGTGAAGGTGACTGTGTTTAAATGATGAGATGTTCTTTCCGTTACAGGCCGTGTTTATCATCAGCAATCCTGAAACACACAGTCTGGCTGAGGAGAACGCTTAACTCGCCATAAATTTGAAAAAAAAAATCTAAGTTTAATACTGTAAAGTTCTAAGTTCATCTCTGTTCAATTCCAAATTAATTTATGTTTAGTACAAAACTTTATTTCTCTTAAGTTCTAAATTTAAGCTCTACATTTATTTCTACCAAGTCCTAATTTTATTGTTCTGTTAAATCAAAATTTAATTTTCCTGTTAAGTCCTCAATGTATTTCTGTTTAGTTCTAAATGTATTTCTCTTAAGTTCTAAATTTGTTTTTTATTAAGGTTCAATTTTATTTTTCTATTAAGTTCCAAAGTTATTTTTGTTAAGCCCTAAATATATTTGTGTTAAGTTTTAAATTTAACTTCTAAATTAAGTTCTGTCCTACATTTTTCATAGCATAACATTAGAATAAATACAAATAAATGTAAATGCAGTAAAAATGTGCCATATTTAGTAAGTTATAAATATGTTGAGAGAATACAGCTAGAAAGAACACAGGTTTGGTTCTTTAGTGAATTAATTATTTGTTTATTTGTATTTATTGTACTCTTTTTGTGTACAAATAAACACTTGCTGTCCAGATAAACAGCTTTACAAATCTTTTTCTTCACACTTCTGCACAGTGCTGTATATTCACTGTTTATACTGCTTACTCTGTACATATTGTATATTGTTGCTCCCCATAAAAACAAATATCAATGTTTGACTTGGGGAGGCCTGGCTAGTGGGTGGAACTGGAAATGGCAACACTGGGGAAATAATTGGTGCAGCGACATTTGCAGAAAAATGCCATATTTCAGTGTGTTCTCTGTAGATGCTGGGCCCAATCTGATTTCACTAAGAAAATCAGCAACGCATAATTTGACCAGGAGTGTAAACTTTTTCATATGTTTAATGTACAGTTGCAATATTTTTAAAGTGTTTATATGCAACTGACTCCAGAAGTGAGTGGGCAGAGTCATTATGTTGTATATAAATAAAAGATACAATTAGTTCAGCTGTAAAATCAGAACAAAGAAGAACGTAAAATATAAGACAAAGTAAGCTGCATTTAGCTCAATCAGCCACAGCCCCCTCCCACAAAAAGCGCTCTGTATTACTTTCCAAACCCTGCAGTGGTTTCTTCCAGATGCAGAGCACTGAACTAAGAGCAGCAGACTTCAACTTCAGGTAAATAGTATTTTTAGTATGTTTTGTTATAGTTCTAATATTATTCTAAAAAAGTTTCTAGTGCTGATAGATTGTGTGTGTGTGTGCATGTATCAAATCAAAATACTTTTTTGCTAACAAATATCTTTATTATTTCAGTCAGCAAACTATGGTTGTAAAGTGATTTCATTTTGAAATTTTAGAACTTAAAAAATGTGAAATACTTTTTTATAAAAAAAAAAACAAGTCCTAAAATTATTTCCTTTAACTATCCTATGAGATAAAAAATGACATTCTTGTTGGGAAAAGCCTCCTGAGAATGTTTTTAATCTTTTTTAATGCCTCTTTATGTTAAAGTTTTAACAGAAAAACAACAACAATAAACAACATTAGTCCAATTAATTTTGTTCATATAGTCTAATGCAAGAATTTGGGCACAACAGTAAAATTAAAATTTTGTTTATTTTCTAAGTGATACCTCCTCTACACACTGTATAGTACACGCTAATATTTGACAATTAATGCAAAACAAAACAATACAGTTTAACAAATATAATACCAGCTGTAATAATATAATGATGCTGCTAGAAATGAAACACAAGGTTTCACATTAATTTACCTAATATTTTTCTGTGGCCATGAGACCAGCCAACCAGACATGCTTTTCAGCATGTTACATTTAGTAGTTTGGACTGTACTTGGAATAGTTTTATTAAGAATGTCTGATAATGTAAAAGAAACTTTAGTCCGAAATGTGCGCACATTTAAACACATTTAAAATGTAAAAATGTACCATATCTACCATCAGGACAAAAAATACAAAGAGGAGATGGAATAAGGTGCATATGGTAGTATTGGAAGTTAAACAGGATATGTGGATAAAATTAAGATGAATAAGCTGGTGGTTAGGATTTTTAGAGGCCGATGTGATGTTCAGTTTGTCAATTGATCTGACCCTGAGCACTTTTTAGCTCTTTTCCCCCATTTAGTTTGTAGACCTAAAGGTTTATGTACAGCACTTAGCACAGATAAACTTTGAATACACAACCTCTAGTTCCTGTGCTAGCAGAAAATAGTTTATTTAATGGGTGTAAAGGTAAAGTGGAGCCCCAATGAATGCTGCATGCCTTCATGGCAGAGCAAAGGCAAAGTTAGAGAAACAATGAAAAACCTGGTATTCTATAAAATGCTTGTAAGTCTTGGAATATCTGAAGACCTGAATCAATAAAAATATCATCCAGAACATGTATTCCCTTTTGTTGGCATTGTGGAAAAAAGAATGGCTTGTTGGCAGTAAGTAATTTAAAATTATGAAAAATTGGGGAACACTTTTTTTGTGGTTTTGGTTAGTTTTTCTATTATCCACCATGTAAAGAGTAAGTCACTAATTAGTGGACCTTGCCTCAGTTTATATCGCTTTATAGGAATGTTTGAGTAGATGAGGCCTTGTAATCTGTACGGAACAGCCAGGCTTTCTTCAAGAGGCCCCCAGGGGGTTTGAGTATCTGGATTAAGCTAAACTGAAAAAGGACAAAGAACAAAGTAAGAATACAATGTGAAATTAAGATGAGAAAGTCCTCCATCTGCTTTTTTACACTCAAGGGTAGCAAGTTTAATTTGAGATCTCTTGCCTTTCCATAAATAGGCTGAGATACTAGATTGGAGTTCGTCCCAGAAACTTAAAGAAAGAGACGATGGAATCATAGAACTTTCTTAGAACTTAGAAATTGTCTCTAGGAAGAATATTAGATATTACTACTTATACACGAGTTCGAAGAGTATTAGGTAAATGACTACAGTCCCTCAAATCATCACAGATTCTAGCAAATATCTGGGTAAAGGTTTTCTTAACTGTAAATTGGAGGGATGAATAAATTTCAACCCCAAGGTTCCTAAAGTGATGTATTACAGGGAAAGTTAAAGATAGATTTGTCTCTCTCTTATGGCATCATTTAAAGGGAGAAGCGCACCTCATATTGACCTCATAGCCAGAGGGACTGCAAAACATATCCAAAATGGAGAGCACATAAGGAAATGTTTAAGGAACATTATTAAGGTAAAGCAAAATGTTATCAGCATCTAAAGTGATGTGATGAATATTATTAATGGTGATTGGCATAAAGTGGGGATAGCCAAACTGCTTGGGCCAGGACCTCAAGTGACAAAGCAAATAAGAGAGGAGAGAGTGGACAGCCTTGCCTAGAGCCACGAGAAACTGAAAACGGAGGTGAGCATTTATTACCTGCTATTACTACAGCAGAAGGGTTGGCATACAGAGTTTTGACCAGTTTAATGAAATTAAGATCCAGTTCCATTATTTCAAGCACAAACCATGAAAAACACCCCTGTGTAGTCTGTCAAATGCTTACTCTGCATCTGAAGAGACAGCAGCACAAGGAGTAAGTATATCATGCAGAAAACCAAGCATATGAAGAAGCCAACAACCATTGTCAGAAGCAAGTGGGGCTCAGTCATGCTGGAACAGAAAAGGTCTTCCCCAAACTGTTCACACAAAGTTAGAAGCATACAATTGTCCAAAATGTCTTGTTATACTGAATATTTTAATGCAGATTTTAATTACTGTGTATTTGCCCAATTTAACACAAAAATTACAATAAAACATAAAATGTGGCCTTTAATATTATATAATATTTAATATTAACATTAGTTACATTTTATCTGTTCATATATGGTAACTCAGGAAATAAATAGAAATTGTGCACTGAATTCTATAAAAAATTACATACAAACAACTACAGATGTGTTCTCTGTAGAGGATATGTTAACTTGCATGCAATTTGACCAGTGGTATTCAAACTTTTCATATAACTGTATTCTTTTTTTACCGAAAATCACATTGTTAGTATTACAAACAAGGCTCTATTATATTTCAGTGTATTTCCTCCTTTTTGACAAAGTAAAGAATAGATGACCATGATCTGGATCTTTCTGTGAGCTATTGTGTTTCCAATCACTGTATTAAAGAAGCTCCACACAGCCCTTATTGTTAGATGCACTGTGATAATTTCAAATCACCTTTCACACTTATTTATCTGTTTTATCAGAGTAAAAATAAAAGGCGACTGAAGTGTGAAGTACTGTTCTATTTGTGTGCTTGCTTTCTAAAATGTGACACACAGGTTATTAGATCATATCAAATCATATCATAGATTGCATATCAAAGTAAATATGATATTACATTGAGACAAATAAATATCAAGGACAATATTGAAGAAATTGGGTCAGATTCATAATACGTACCACAACATTTACCGATTTACCATTAGTAAATAGCATAGCAGTAACACGCTTCCTCATTCATACATAATCACAGGCAAACTTTACCACTTGTGCAATGTGAGACACTGCTGTGCTTTTACCTCATTCGCTTGCACTACAATTCATCACCCAACACAATCCTGCAATAAATAACACCTGAACCATCACTCTGGCTGTAATTTACCCCGATAAGAAGCTGAACTGAATGAAATTAGATTTTCAACAGTGTTTCTTAACATGCTTGCAAATAATCAACAAATTGCATGTTCACCCACTCAGCTGACTTACTGCTGCATGTTTTGGACTGAACATTTAACTTTCTAACTTTTTTTGTTGATTTTGTTGTAAGAAATGCAAATATAGGTGTCACAGAGCAAGATATTATCAACAGTTTTATCTCACACTTTCAGCTGATATCATATTTTGTATGGCACTTCTTCACACATCAAACTCAATGCTTCCCAACCTGCCCCCCATGTGTGTGAAAAAATGATTTTCCTCATAATAAATGAAGAGTAATTTGACATGTTGAGATTCTAATTACCTGTTAAAATAGATTTTATTGCAAGCAGTTTCAGCATTTACTCCTTTTTTTTGTTAATGTACACATGTGAAAATAACAAATAATGTGAAATTTTACTTGTCAACATTTAAAATTTACTAGTGGACTTTTAATTTTCACATATGTACATTGCTGATATCAAGATTTAAATATTTTCTAGTTGAAATTTAATTTTCACTTGTGGTGAATTTGTGAGTTCTGATTAAACGCAACAACAATGTAAGTTCTGACATTAGGCAAATTGTCATTTCCTCTGTAGATGCCATGTAAGTACTCATACTGTGGGTGATTGTGCACCTCAGTTACAATTAAAATGTTTGTAACACTTTCTATGAATAACGTCTTTTACAATCTATGAACACATTCATAAGGCATTGTAATGGCATTGTAATTGAACAGTAATAACACAGAAGTTGTTGGAGGAGCACTAAGCAGCTGCTTATGTCACTAAGGTAGAGCTGATAGCCCTCAGACCTCTATGCTGTTAGTTATAGTAACTAGTCAGTGAGTGCAATTTGGCAGCAATAAAAAAGTGATGTATTCTTTTTAAATGTTTATATTTTATTTCTGTGGAAACTTTGTCCAGTATTCTTCGAAATTAGTGCAAGGACGGTTCTACAATAAACAATAAAGTATTCCAACTTTAGATATTTACAAGTATTATGTTATGATCTATTTAAACACAAGACATGAATTGTGATAGTAATAAGTTAAATATATACAAAATCATAATTAATAGGGTTCTTTCTATTGGGAGGTGTCTGCCCCAAACCATTTTTACTCCATAGGCAGAGCATTATTTTAGCCATGCCCCTGCAGGAAGTGAGGCTGCATCCCTGTCCCTCGTGGCCACATTGTGAGAGGTTAGATCCCATTGTTTTAAAGTAAATGTGTCCTGAAGTCTGAAAATCAGTGTGAAACATTAGAAACTGTCAAAGAAACATACTTTCTGGAGTTTTCTTGTGTTTTTTTTTGGAAACATTCTTGTGCTTTCATAAAAACATATGATTTATGTGTGCACAACTGTTCAAAGTTGTGTTTGCTAGTCATATACTGGCTAGCATTGTTAAGTTGTTGCAGACTTAAACCCCTGGAGACTCCATTGCATGATTTTTTAAAATTATTATTAATAATTGACATTTATTGATGTTTGGTAGTTGTTTATAAGCATTTTAATTCTTCCAGTACCATAATATTTACCACAGAACAAGTGAGAATATTCACTGTTCATACTTGGGAAAATTTCCATCTTTCAATGCCGGAAAATCAGATTCAATTCAGTAAATTTCCATAAGAAATTCTTCTTTTATTCTTCTTTTTATTGCCATTAGATTTCATACAGGTCTGTGTTCAGGATGGCCTCCAGTTTTGTACCTGTTGTGAACACAAGAAATGGCTTCACCATCGTAACCCAAGTGGTTCCAGGAGGAACAGAGCAATATGGCCTCGGGACTGGAGGTGGAGTCTCCACACGACACTCAGTTAATAAACAAGACTCAGTTACTAAACTTCTGAAAGGAGAGCCGAAGGCACTGGGGGTAAGACAGTTCTGGTGTAGTTTTCTTAATAGTCACACTGGGCATGTTTACACTTTGCTCTGATTGTCTCATGTTTTCCATAGACTGTCCAGATAATGATCGGGATCATGATGTTATTGTTTGGTGTTGTTAAAACGGCCCACTTTCCAAGTGTGGGTGTCGTCAGTGGCGTCACCTACTGGGGATCATGTATAGTAGGTTATCTTTTCGTAGCCTTCATATTCCTATAGGATTGTGTTTTCCATTCAAATTTGATAAACACAGAAAAAATCTCATTTTCCTTCTTTCCTTCTTCTTCTTCTTCTTCTTTTTATGCCAGTATATCACCTCAGGTGCTTTGTGTGTTGCTGCAGACAAGAAAACTAAACCTTCTTTAGTAAGTAAACACAGAATGTAGGGTATTTTTAAACACATTAGTGACACTTCATTGTTAATTAATATGCTTGGAAAGACAATGGCTAATTCTATTCCATAATAAGTTTGCACTCAATTACTCAATGGCCACTTTATCAGAAACCCCTCTATTGTAGCTCCACCTTGCTGGTTAGACTGTAGCTCATCTGTTGATGCCCACTGTGCTTCTAATAATGTGGTCAGTGAGTGTGCTTTAAACATGTAAAATGAATTTTAATGTTCTAGTAGTTAATAGGAATGCTTATACTCTGTCGTAACTTTGCCACATGTTATGCTGTTGTCTGTTTCTCCTCTTGTGTAGGTGAGAAGCTCCCTGGCGATGAACATAATCAGCGCTGTGGCTGCAGTAGCAGCCATCGTTCTGCTGTCGTTTGACATTGCCATACGTTATTCATATTGTTACAGATGTTTCTACAGAGACCCTGAAGTGTGTGAAGTTTCCATCTGATTGTGTGTCTCTTAAGTAAAATAGCTCTAGATGTGCAGTATTGATCTGATCCAATTCAATAGTGTATATTAGTCCTATAGTTTAACTGCCAAATTGTGTCAATGTAATATTCTTTATTCATCTGAAAGTGATGTATACAATTTGAATTGAGAATCTCAGCATACAGTCGTCTGCAAAATTTGAACACCCTTAAAATAAGTTAACACAGGCACAATTACTGTTTATTTGCTGAATTTAACACATTAAAATGTGGGCTGTGCATTTTTTTTCCAAATATTTTAAACACAGCAATGAATAGAATTTGTGTGCTAAAATCTGAAATTAAAAGACATATTTAAGGCTGTTCTCTGTAGAGGATGTGTGAACTTATTTTATATCAAATAAGTTAACACCCTTAAAATGTTAAATTATTTTTAATTTGATTTAATTAAAAAATAAAGGGATGTTCAAACTTTGCCTGCTATTAGATCTTATTTTTGAGTTCATTAAGCCAAACTTAATACCAGATAATTCACTCAACCATGTTTCTTAACCCTTGTGTGTTGTTTGTGTTTTTGTTAATCAGTGGTCTGGTGGACCCACCACATTATTGGTTTAATATAAATCAATACAGCCATAACAATTTAGGTAAAAATACCATACGTTTAAAATATCACAAGTGCCCAGCATAGGGTTCTTCTTTGGCAGCTGTAGCCAGTCAGCAGCCTGTCCATGTCATCCACCCTCACGCACACACACACACACACATACACACATATACAAACACATACACACCCAGACACACACACTAACAACAGGCCATGTAGGAGAAGGACAGAGTGAAGAGACTCAGCACCTCCACACTTTTATTCCCCCCGGTTCAACCCACATGTGTAATATAAATGTGTAGGGGGTGGACAGTGTGAAGTCACTGAAAATGTGTTATTTCACACACCAATCTGGCATAACATTGTGACCACCTCCTTGTTTCTATGCTCATTGTTCATTTTATCAGCTCCACTTACTATATAGGTGAACTTTGTAGTTCTACAATTACAGACTGTAGTCCATCTGTTTCTCTGCATACTTTGTTAGCCCCCTTTTACCCTGTTCTTCAGTGGTCAGAACCCCCATGGACCCTCACAGAGCAGGTACTATTTGGGTGGTGGATCATTCTCAGCACTGCAGTAACACTGACGTGGTGGTGGTGTGTTAGTGTGTTTTGTGCTGGTCTGAGTGGATCAGACACAGCAGTGTTTTTAAACACCTCAGTGTCACTGCTGGACTGAGAATAGTCCACCAACCGAAAACATCCAGCCAACAGCGTCCTGTGGGCAGCGTCCTGTGACCACTGATGAAGGACTAGAGGATGACCAACACAAACTGTGCAGCAGCAGATGAGCTATCGTCTCTGACTTTACATCTACAAGGTGGACTGACAAGGTAGGAGTGTCTAATAGAGTGGACAGTGAGTGGACACAGTGTTTAAAAACTCCAGCAGCACTGCTGTGTCTGATCCACTCGCACCAGCACAACACACCCTAACACACCACCACCACATCAGTGTTACTGCAGAAAATGAGCAAAGGCCAAGGAATCTGAGGTTGAAATAATAATAAATCGTACCATTTTTTCTTTTGGTAGACACTGAAAATAGGTCCCACAGACCTGAACACCACACAAGGCTTGATTTGATATTTCTTTCACTCAAATTACTGTCATTGGGTATTTTATTAATTCACAAATATTCACAATCTTCATGCTGATTGGAAATCTTCAGTAAATTTATTTCACTGCATGCTTTCATTGATCCCAGGCTGTTTTAGGTACTTATTTTCATCAGAGATTTAATGTTCATGTGACAGATCTGTCATCTAACATTGGGTTCAGCTTAGTGGAAAATGGACTCTTTCAGCAGTTAACAGGTAAATGTTTTTCAGGAACAGTCAGCTGGAATCAGCGGAGTGCTGCTGGTGTTCTCTCTGCTCGAGTTCATCATCTCCATCTGCACTTCTGCATTTGCCTGCAAAGCCACTTGCTGTGCTGAATCTCCGGTCAGTGAGACTAAATATTTGTTGTGTTTTTAAATACAGGGTGATTCAAAAAAGTTTCATCTGAACTTGTAAATCATTACAGAACAATGCAGTAAGTGTAAATGGTTTAATTGAGCATAAAGTTTATTATGTCATTGTACAAGTGCCCAATATGAACCTCCTCCAGCTGTACAGACAACATCAACGCCATAGTCAAATTCATCCCATACTGGATTGAGCTTGTCGGGTGTCACTGTACTAATGGCTCTTTCAATGCGATTTCGAAAATCATCCAGTGTTGTGGAACCAACAACAAATGCTTTGAGCTGTTGGAGGTTCACTGTCAATAAAAATCATGCTGCACAGTTATGACGGATTCACTCTTAGTGAAGTGAAGAATGCAAAACACTTTCTGCTCAGGGGTCTCCATCTCTGAAGAGACTGAAGAGAGCCATCTTCCGGTGACAGTAAGAAACTCTATGACCCTCCTCTTTCAATTGGTATGTGATTGGTTCCTAGGCGCCTCACGGTTGTAAAAATATGGTCCTTTGAAATCAGATGAATCTTTTTGAATCACCCTGTACTTTACTTTTTCTTTCTGTAGTGCTGTAAGTGAGCAGTCACACAGTTTTCATGTGATTTGACAACTGAATGATCATGAAATGTTCTTTCTCTTACAGGTCATGAGTGACATCAACAATCCTGAAGCACAGAATCTAGATGAAAATGTTTAAAATTTTAAAGGACATTTTAAAGGAGTAAAATATGTCTAAATTAATTTCATTTGTGCTGCAAATTTATGTTGGCTAAGTTCTGAAGTTACATTTCTTAAGTCTTATTTTTTCTCCTAAAATCCAAGGCTTAAATCATTTCTGTTAAGTCTTCAATTTTTCACTGCTAAAGTCTAGATACATTTCTCCTGAATTCTAAATTTAGCTATTTTATGTAATCACTGTTATGTGATTCCTTTCTTGCTTTTAAGTTTCTAACTTTCCAGTAATATATTTTTGATAAATCCTAAAGGTTTTTTTTGTAAAAAAAAATTTCACTCAAGTTCTAAATTGATAAAAAAGTTCATGGTAAAGTCCTACATTTCTGTCTGTTAAATGCTACATTTATTTTTATTAAGCTCTAAATTAAACTAATTATAGTTTAAAGACATCTAAACACAAACGAAATTTACCCACAAAATAACTAAAACCTCCACTAAAACCTCCAGCAGTTTCCTGCTGATAAATAAAGATTTCTTTATGTTTCCTTCTGTGTGGTTTGGTCCTGATATTATTCTAAAGACAAAACATTTCTAATGCTGATCTACTGTGTGTGTGCTTGTTTTGGACATTGGTGGGTGGATCGGTAGGTGTGTATGTGCACATGCTTCTGTGTGAACAAGTAAAAAAATGATGAGCTCACTAATAAACAGATTTTTTGTTTTAGTTGAATTTTGGCTGTACTTCTCAACTGAGTGAGTTCATATTAAAATTAATATGAAAAAAAATGTTACTCATGAAATAATTCTTTCAAGGAAGGAAACATTTGTTCTGGCCCTGATATTATTCAGAAAAAAAAACTAGCCTGCTGATTTTGAACTTTGAACTTTGAACTTTAAGCTTAAGTGCTTTGAATAAATATACAACCCCATCTCCAAAAAGTTAGGACGCTGTGCAAAACATAAAAAAAACCAAAATGCAATGATGTGCAAATCATTTAAACCCTGTATTTTGTTGAAAATAGTACAAAGACAACATATCAAATGTTGAAACTGAGAAATTTGTAAAATATATGTCCATTTTGAATTTGACACCAACATGTTCCAAAAAAGTTGAGACAGAGCAACAAAAGGCTGGTAAAGTTGTGTAATGCTAAAAAAATAAATAAATAAATAAATAAATAAAACTGGTGGTTGATTGGCAACAGGACAGTTACATGATTGGGTATAAAAAGAGCATTTCAGGCAGGCTGAGTCTTTCCGAAGTAAAGATGGGGTAGAGTTCACCACTCTGTGCAACACTTCAAGAGTAACATTTCTCAACATAAAATAGCAAAGAACTTTTGCTTTTTTCATCATCTACGGTACATAATATCATTAAAAGATTCAGAGAATCCCGAGAATTCTCTGTATGCAAGTGACAAGGCCGAAAACCAGTATTTGCTGGTTGTGATCTTTGGGCCCTCAGGGCACTGCATTAAAAATGGATATGATTATCTAGTGGAAATTACTGCATGGGCTCAGAAACACTTCCGGAATCCACTGTATGTGAACACAGTTCATCACTACATCCACAAATGCAAGTTAGAACTCTAAAATGCAAAGAAGAAACCATATATAAACAGGATCCAGAAACACTGCTGCCTTCTCTGGGCCCACTCTCATTGAAAATGGACTGAGGGGAAGTGGAAAAGTGTCCTGTGGTCTGACAAATCAGCATTTGAAATTCTTTTTGGAAATCATGGACACTGTGTCCTCCGGGCTAAAGACCACTCAGCTTGTTATCGTGCACAGTTCAAAAGCCTGTATTCATGATGGTATAGGGGTGTACTAGTGCACATGGCATGTGTGATGAGCACATCTGTGAAGGCACCATTGAACGATAGATACATGGTTTTGGCAACATATGCTGCCATCCAGATAACAACTTTTTCAGGGAAGGCCTTGTTTATTTCAGCAAGACAATGTCAAACCACATTCTGCATGTATTAAAACACCATTGCTACGTATTAAAAGAGTCCAGGTGCTAAAATGGCCTGCCTGCAGTCCAGACCTGTCACCACTGATAACATTTGGCACATTAGGAAATGAAAATATGACAAAGACGACCCCGAACTGTTGAGCAGCTGAAATCCTGTATGAAAAAAGAATGTGAAAAGATTTGGTCTCCTCAGTTCCCAAAAGCTTAGAGTATTGATAAAAGAAGTGGTGATGAAACACAGTGGTAAACATGCCCCATCCCAACTTTTTTGGAATGTGTTGTTGGCATTAAATTCAAAATGGGCATATATTTTTCAAAAAACAATTTCTCAGTTTTAACATTTGATATGTTGTCTTTGTAGTATTTTCCTTCAAAAAT